GGACAGAGCCCTCAGGCAGAGCGGAGGGTCGCAGGTGCTCCCCCAGGGGCAGGTGGACTCGGGCGCCCTGAGGCGACATCACCGGGACAACTGTGCCATGCCAGCCCCACTTCCCCAAATTCAAGACCAAGACCCTATCACCCTGTCCCACCCCCGAGAGCAGAAACCGCTTCTGTCCTTGTTCCTTTGTGGATGCTTCCATGCCTGCCCTCAGCACCCTGTCTGCTCCCCGCTGTGTGCACACACCTGGATCACGAAAGTGAGCCCCGGACCCCACCCAGGAGGTGGTACGGCCCCTCACCCACAGCCAGCAAGGGAGAGCGCTGTCCCCATGGCCCTCCTCCTCCCAAGAAGACACGTAAGCCATATTCACCAAGGTTTTAACCATCGTACACATACACACACACACACACACACACACACACACACACATAGAGCGAAGGATGGGGGCCTTGGGGAACCCGCACACGAATGTCTCCTGCACCTCCCGCCGCCCCTGTGCTTTTGTGGTTTGCTCTTGTTCTCGCGGATCCTCCTCCTGGCTCCCTTGAAGTTGTCAGGCCTCTGTCCGAGTCCCTGGGTCACCCACCCACCCTCTCCTGTTAGGAAGACGTCCAAATGCACACCCTGCATTTCCTCCCATGTTCCTCTCGCCTCCTAGACTTCGGTCATCAGATTTGGGAGTCGTGAACAGCCTTTCTGTCTTCCCTCACCTGTCCTTCCACCCAGCTCTTCCCAGGCCGGCCCCGAGGCTGTCCTCGGGTTGGATTCATCTCCTCCTGGGAGGTGGGGGTCGGGCGGACAGAGGGCAGACGGTGCCGGTGGGGGCAGGAGAGGCCGTGGCCCACAGGCCGAGTGCCGGCTTGTCTGCCAGGGCCCCCCAGCTGGGTGAGCCCCGCCTGCCTCTCCTCTTTCTTACCGGGAGGCATCGTTGTCCTGAATAGGCACCAGGGAACCTGAGCGAAGAGACCACTTTGCTTTGAGACAAGGGGCGGTGTGGCAAGGGCTGCAGAGGACGTTGGCTTTGGATTTGGGAAAGAGAGGCCGGCCACGCACTGCTGTCGCGTTCATGTCCTCTCTGCCCACCTGAGT